CTTATACAAGTTATATAGAATAATCAAATTTGTAGAAACAGAAATAGAATAGTGTTTACCAGGGATTGTAGGGAGAAAAATTACTGTTTAATGGGAAGAATGACAATTTGGAATGAGGAAAGTGTTCTGAAATTGACGGTGATCATAGTAGCACAATAATGAGAATATATTAAATGCTACTTCATTGTACACATAGAAATTGTACATTAGTACATTTTGCTATGTATATTTCACAAAACTTTTTGAAAAAGTATGGGAAATACAGTCCAATCTTTGTCTGCAGTGCTGATAAAGGAAACAGAAACATTTGCTAATATTTGTTGAGATATCTAGATACTGTCTGTGTTCTTTATATAATTTTTTTCATATAATACACATAAGTCTATGCTATATATTTTGAACACTTTTTTTAGTGTAAGATGATGTTATGACTCACACTTTGACCCACAGTTACATTTTATGTAATTAGCAAATTCAAGATTTAATAAAATGTTTCTGTCTCCAATATTTATGCTCATTTTAAGCACCCTTTGACAATCTTAAAGGGATATATATTTTCCCATGTTCAAACAATAAAAGAGTTTTCTTTAACTGAAATGTTCCTTTTACAGGTAAAATGGTTATGGTCATAATAAATTAGTGTTATGACCTCCTGAATTGTCACAAGCAAAGACATAATCACAGTTTATTTATGTTTTCAGTTTTATGTCTATCCCATGTTCTAAGTAATTTTACAAAATTTCTCAATTACAAAACTAAAATAAAATGAGCATACTTAAATTTATTTTAATTACATGTATTCAAAGGTCATTGTTATTATAACAGATACAAGAATACTATAGGTAATATGAGTTATTTAATTTAGCACTTCATGTCTACTAGAAGCATATACAATGCAAGCTTAGAAAGTCATAGAGGAAAGCCTTTTTGATAAATTCATTACTTGTATAAACAGATATCATAAGTTAACCAACTGAATACATGAGCAGTGATTGAGCAAAGACTCATCACTTATAATTCTTAAATAGATCACAAATTATAATCCACTGGAAAATACATATTTACTAAATACTGATTAACGTGGATTTCTAAGCGGAGATATTAGAATGTGATCCACATATAAAGCTGTAGAAGCTTATGTATTTTCATTGTAAATTACTTTCTAATAAAGTTACTTAGCATGAATAGCCTATTTCCTTAGAAGGTCATGTCAAAATAGAATATCAGTGAAGAGAGGATATTTCTCAAAAGGTAAAAAAGGTAACCTAGAAGCTGACATTTAAGAATAATTTTCTTGAGGAAATGATGTTTTCTATCTCTACTAGGACCTTTAATTTTCAAATGTGTGTGATTCAATATTTCTCTCAAATTGGCAGATGGATCAGACAGATATTTGCTGCACGTTTTCATTTTTCACGCAAGGGATTCAGTAACACATAAGGATTGTACCTCTTTTTGAAAATAAGTAAAAATAACCTCTATACAGTATTCCATACTTTTAAGTTATATGCTATTTTTTATTTTCAAGTATATTTTAAATATAACTAAATATGCATTCTCACATAGCAGCTGCTGAAAAAATTTTATAACAACTTAGGATAAATATTAATTAATTATATTCATCCAAACCACCATCAACCCACTGATTGAGCAATAGAGCAAAATTGTTCTTCCCCTTGGTTTTAAACTATGATAAATAATAAAAACAAAACGAAAGTAGATCATTTCAATTACTCCCTCCAGAACAGCAGTAGTGTAATTCTTGTTTTGTTACCTCATCGTACTGGAGACCAAGTTTACATTTAAATGCTAAATTCGACATTTCTAGTTAGAAAACATTTCTATTTAATTTAAGTGACTGAATTAATGGGAGGGGATGAAAAAATTTAGAAATAAATATGCAAAAACAACAGTCAAAAATTTCATTGAGATACAAAGCATAATTTTAACTGATTGGATGTCAAGAACTATATTTAGATATCACAGACTATTTTTTCCTCCGTAGTAGAGAGGTTCTCATAACAAAATACTGATACTGTAAAGTATTTATTATTAGATAAATTATTTCACAAACAAAACCTTCACTAGACGAGGTTTTCTTTTAACAGCTTAGGTCTTTTGGCAATTCAAATATTGTTCACATGTAGAATTGGCTCTTTATTTGAAATTTTGTAATAAAAGTAAGAAAACGTCAAATGAATTTAGCGAGGAACAAAGGAACATAAAGGAACAAAGCAGTTGGTAAATGCAAGGGCAGCAGAGTGTCTTCCCTGGGAAGCAGAGAAGACAAAGTATATGAGAAATTGAAGGCAATAAGGGATACAGGCTGCGATAAGGTAGCTCATTAATGGCTAACAAAGAGGTCGCCAGCAAATACAAAATAAATGAGATGAATGACACAATATGTAGGTTGGTGAAGAAAATAAAAGTTTGCTTACATATTGATTGTGTTATTCAACTGCTAAATTTTAAACTGCTAAAGGGTATATTGTGATATTTGAGAAAATATGAGCAGTTTAAAGTGGTGTTTATATCAGACACATCATAGAATGGGATCTCTGTGTCAAATAGTAAATCACCCTGTTTCTTGTATGTATACTAATACTCTTTTTAATTGCTGAAACAAATTTTTAAATACCATAAATACATTATCCCTTTTGTAAATACTATAGCTATTGTTACTAGAATGAGACCACTAACAGCAGAAAAATAAATTATGCTTCCTTTTTCACAGTATATATTCTTCTTAGATTGATATGTAAATGTTTTCCCACTATTAAAGCTACTCAAAACATGCCTATTATGTGCTTTTATTTACATAAATTTATAAAGCATCATATTGATTAAAAATGTTATCAATTTTGATTGGTTCTAATAAAAGTAATGGTACATGCTACTAGTCTTAGAGATAGAAGCTGAAGTACATTGGTGAACTCTTGGTGAGTCTTTCCTTCATTTTACACATTGCTAGAGTTGTTTTGGACATTAATTTTACAACAAGGAATTGGATGTGTGTTCAATATGTAATAGCTTTAAGAGTTTGATACCTTTGCTTAATACAAAGAAGTTAAGGGATCAGAAGTGTGATATATATCCAGGATATACCTAGCGATGTCTGTGCATCTCTGTCATTCTTGGTCAGAGGCAAATAATAAGACGTGGGGAAATTGCTATAATCCTTTCTGAGGTTGTGGTATGGCACATTTACAGGTCTGCATGAACAGTTGGATGCTTTCTCAGTTCATCATTCATGAGTTGTTTCACCAGCCCTGTCAACAGTTATTCCTCTAAGGAGCAATCATCCACATCTTGCAATCCTTGAGGGCTACAAAGTCATCTTGAACTAACAGTTAGATTGACGCTGCTGGCTGGAGCCTCAAAATGGCACTTGTTTTATAACACAGCAGTTGCCAGACAAAAATAGGGTCCAGTAGTAATTGCGGAGCACCAAATGTTTGGCATAGGAGTAGTCCCTAGCTTAAGCACTTGCCGTATGGCATTTCCCTGGATTTTTTGAATATTAATGCTTATCATGAAGCATAAAAGATATACATCTTAATGAGCAAAACTGAAGAAGTATTCTAATATTCTTGAACTGACAAGCTGGAGACTGAGATGGGCTCCACACAGATGACATTTTTTTTTTTTTTAATGGGAATATAATAGCCTCTGGAGATACTGATCAGGACAGATAGATGTTTCTTCAGGTCTGCTTAGACACAAGAGATTTATGATATGAATCTATTAGAATATATTTCATCTGCTCCTTAAATCTGGAAAAAAGAAGTGCCCTTGATTTGAAGAGAAAAGTTTTAAAAAGCACATCAATGTGAAATAGATGATTTGGACATTTTGCTGACACTCAGGAAATTTTTGTTTGGAAAGAAATGTTCTTCTTGCTTCTAACTTGATAGCCAGACTTGGATTGAGTGACATGGAATATTAACTCAGGAAATATAATTTGAAGCTAATATTTAATTTCAAGGCCTTTATGCACTCTCTTTTTTTCCTCTATGTAAGGGTATTATTAACTAAAGTCTTTATTTTAATTCATACAAAGTACATGAACTATCATCAATTATTGATAACACAGTAAAGAAAAATCATTAAATATTTTCATAATTGTGGTTTTGTAACTATAATTAAGCTCTGTCATTTTTACAAAAGAAAAATAAAGTAGCTATAATTGTTATCAGTAGTTTTTTGCTTTTGCTCATCCTAGAGCAATTATGTATTATTTTAAACATAAAATATATGTAACAAATTTCTAAATTACGACACATAATGAAAATAGATATTAATAGAACCAAAGTCATTACTGATTTCCAATTTCATTGCCATGCCTCTCATTGTAGTTCAAACTAAATTTTTTAAAATTCAGGATTTTGTTTGTATGCTTTATGTGTATAACTACTGTATGTATTCATTCTTACACAATGTATTATTAATTTTACTTCTTTGGAGCATTTAAAAGTGTTTTCACATTTTATGTAGTTTGATACTTTGATTTTATGTTTCATTATTCAACATTCTTAAGTTTCATCCTTGTTATTGCTACAACTTTTTTTTCATTTAATGCCAATATCTTACAATATGTCATGCAAATATATTATGATTTATTTATGTTTTCCAATATTTTGGGGTTGTTTCAATTTTTTTGCTCATACAAATAATGCTGCTCTAAATATTCTTGTACATGTTTTCTAGTGCAAATTTGCATAAGTTTATCTAAGCCTATAAGTGCAGTTGCTAGTTTAAGAATTTACTTGTATGATTCTATAAAATAATGGCGTTTGTTTCTTATATGGTTATATCAGTTTATCCCACTAGCAGTATATCTAACTTGATAGCCAGTCTTGGATCAAGCGAAATGGGATATTAACTCCATCATGTGTGGAATTGTTAAATATTGGCAGTCATATGAATGTAAAACCCTTCACTATACTCTTAGTTTGCATGTACCTAATTAGTAATGCCATGTCAGCGTTTATTCATTAGCTTTTCTTGTTTGGTTCTCGTTTAGAGACAATCTATAAGACTTAATGTTTCATACATTGAAAAATATACTTGATAATAATACCTTTTAAACTATAGGTGCTGTAAATATCTTCTCCAAATTTTTGTTTTCCCTTTTCACATTTTTTGGTGAACTTATGTTCAAATTTTAATATATTTCAATTAGTAAATACTTATTGTTATGGGATATTATTTCTATCCCAAAGTTAATAAGAAATTCTTTCATCTCATCTTTTAAAGGTTGTATCATTATTATTTTATACTTGTTTATTTGAAGTAGATTGCCGTGGAACTTGTAAAGTAGGGACACAATTTTATTTCTCTCTTTTTTTTTCTTTTTAATGCATAATTAGTTGTTTCAGTGTCACTAATTAAACAGTCTTTCCTTTTCACCAATCATTTATTAATGACTAGAGTGAGTCTTCTATAATATGTTAAATGTCCTTTAATTCATGGAGTTATGTATTTATTTTGGAGCTGTTTTTCGAATTCCTAATCTAACACAATATTAATTTAAACACTTTAGACTTTTAAAACATCTTGATATATGATAAAAGAGGATCCCTTAAAATTGCTTCTTTTCCTCAGGAGTCTTTTGGCTAATCCTGTGCCTTGCAAATCCAAAAAGATTTACAAACATCTGTTGAAAATGTTTTGAGTAATTTCATTGAACCTATAGTCAATTTGGAGAAACGTGACTGAATAGATCTTTTTGATCCACAAATACTATATATTTTTATTTATTTGTGTCTTTTTAAATGTCTTACAATCATGTTTAATTTTTTGCAAACACATATTACTATAATTTAGGTTATCTAGAGATGACATGTTTTAACTACCTTGGTGAATGATGTCCAATATTTTTCCTTAGAATATATTTTCCAAGTATTGCCTTAGTTCTCCAGAAATGCAATTAATATCTTACATTACTATTATATGCAGCAACTTTCTTAATATCTGTTTTTATGACAACAATTCTAATAAATATGATTTTAGATTTTCTATGCAACCATATAATCCCTGCATAATGATGATTTTATTTCTTCCATTTTAATCCATATACATTATAGTTCTCACGTCTTATTGTATTGAATATGTCTACAAAGAATTTTTAAAAAAAATACAGGCACAGTGGTGCTTACCTGTAATCCTAACTATTTGGGAGACTGGAGCAGGAGGAGCATTTGAGCCCAGGGTTTTGAGGCTGCAGTGAGCTATGCTAGTGTGACTGCACTCCAGCCTAGGTGACAGGGTGAGACCATGTCTCTATTTTTAAAAACTGAATTAAGAACTAAATAAATCTGCATTTACTAAATTAATTATTCCTTTGGCCCCTTAATGTGATGATCATACTTACTTTTTTAAAATTTTTCTTAGAAAGTACCCTTGCAACTCTGTGATAAACCAAGCATAGACATGCTGTAGTACATTTTGCTAGATTCAGTTAACTAAAATTTTGTTAACTAAATATAGAATTTTTGCATCTATATTTAGAAAGAGAATTGATCTTCAGTTTACCTTTCTCATTATATCCTTGCCTGGAGTTGATAACAAGGTTACACTAACTTCACATAATAACTTGCATTGTATTCCTTCATTTTAATTCTTTAGTAAAATTTACGTAAGACTTAATCTTTTTTTTAAAGTTATAATTTATTCAGAAAACATTTAGGTCCAAGAATTTTACTTTTTGAAACATTTAAAAAAACAATTCAATTGCCTTTTTTTTTTTTCAGGAATATTTGAGCTTCATTTCTTTTTAATTGCGATACCATTGAATTTCTAAGAATTTCCATTTTCAAAACAACAGACGACTTGTTTTCACTTTGTTTATCAAGGCCTGATACACACACACATACTTATTTAAAAATTTCTATAGAGACTTTTTGATCTATTAAATATTAATAATTAGAAGACAGTTTCTAAGTATACATATTTACATTATTAGTAAATTTAATTACTACATAATTCATTTATATTTTACTCATTATCTAACTGACAGACTTTGAAATTTTGTTAATATCTATCTCATTCATAACCTAGTATTTGACCAACTTTGTGAGTGGACTTCCTTCTTGAGGAAAAATATTTTTAAATAGTTTCAGAGTGATAAATATATATATATATATATATATATATATAAATCTAGCATAATTATTATACACATATCTATATATAACTACCAGATGATAATTATATATATAATACTGTGTACATAGCATATAGTATAATACTATCTATATAGTATTATATACATACTAATATTTTTGTGATTTTAACTTCTCAGTGTTTGAGAGAAGAAAGTGAAAATCTTTCATTAAGGTAGTGGTTGTCCATTTTTCCCTGCAGTTTTATCAACTTTTGCTTAATATATTTTGAGATGATTGAAGCAGAGGCTACCGGTTGTCCCCCGCAGTCTGTTCTCTACTTCAGTAGTGACAGGAGCTGTACAGATTACTATTGCCAGCCTCCTTTGCACTTAACACCTGATGTTATCACTAAGATATGGCTAATGGCCAATGGAATATAAGCAGTGTAATATGGTACCTTTTGGAAGTGATTAAAAGATAGTTGGCAGAGATCTTTTGTCTTCTTTATTGTCCCTTCTAGCTTACAGCATAGGACACAAAATTCCACCTTCTTAGACCATGATGATGAAAACTATACCGAAGTGTGACCAATGAATGAGGTATAAGAAGTCTAATCCCTGAAGAATTGAGGTGCAAATTTCTCTCACCAGCATTGGATAGTTTGCTCTTCTACTTTAAATAAATAAGAGGAAAATAAACTACTTAGCCATTATTACTTAAATTTTAGAACACCTGGCTTTGCCTAATCCTAACACTGCTATTTTAATAGCTGTAAACAAATATAGAACTGCCATAGGATTCCCTTTAATTAAACATTTATCATTATGTAGTGACCCTCACCTCACCTTCCTTTATATGTATTTGCACTAAAGTCTTCCTTCCTGATATTAATATAGCCACTCTGGTTTCTTGTTCTAATCTGCATTTAAACAATTTCTTTATGTTTTCTGTATACTGCTTGTAATTAGCATATTGTGGAATGTTGTTTGATTTTCCACAAACAATCTATGTTTTTGTTTAACTGACAAGTACGGTCCTTTTCATGATTGATACATTTTAACACGCTTCTATTTTATTTAGGTTTCTATGCTTTTTCTACCTTTTTATGACCAGGTTTCCTCCTTCCTTTCCTTTTATACATCAATGAAATGTTTCTGTTATCCACTATTTTTCATTGATTTTTACTTCATAAAATATGAAAGTTTTGAGTTCTGGCTCTTATTTTCAATTCATCCTTTAGTATTGACCTGAACCATCTGAATGATTGAAAGAGGTCTGAACTCTTTCAAACTGATCAACCCTAGTCTGTTTCACAGACTAGATTTTATTATTTTAATTCCTTCTTTTTAGTCTAACATTTTTTACATTATTTTTATTTTATTATTGTATAAAAATAACTTATTTTGATTTTCATATATTCATACCTTTTTTTGTGGCTTAAGCAACATAAATCTATTATCTCACAATCAGAACTTAGAAGTAGAAACCACATGTCAGCAAGTTGTTTACTTCTGAGGGCTTCCGGGGAAGAATCTGCTCTAGGCTTCTAGGTGTGTAGATGGCATCTTCATGTTCATCTAAAACGCCTGTATTTTCAGGTCTTTACTACACTGCTTTTTTCACTGCTCTTTCTTGCAACACAGACCATCCTGGAATTTTTTTCCTTCCTGAAATATATCATTTAGAAATTTATTTGGGTAAGAAATATTTGTAGTAAAATGAACCCTAATTTATTGCAAAATATCATTATTTTAGTTTCATTATTAGTAGATAGTTTTGCTGTGCCAGGGAATCTAGGTTGATAGCTGTTTGTTTTTGTTTTTGTTTTTTTTTCCTATCATTCTGAAGAAATCACTCCACTGTCTTTGGCTTCCATTGCTACTGACGACAGCTTTGCTGCTGATCTGTTTGTCTGTGACGCCATCTTTATTGCTACTACTGGGCTCTTTTTTCCATCAAATGTCTCTTGTAATTTTATTATTATATATTATAATGTTTCATAGAGATTATGGCCTCAGCAAGTTTATATCTCCTCAATTCTAGGATTCTATTTATAAGATTTTCATAGGCAATAGGTTTTAGTCAATATTATTGAAATCTCAATATTTCAAATAAAAACAAATGTTCTAAAGAAGGAGTAATTCCTCTCACAAAAAAGAGGCTTACTGCTCGCTTTAAAAGCACATATATTAAAATTAAGATGATACAAAGATTAGTACGACCCCTCTAGAAAGATGATGTGCAAATTCATGAAGCATTCTGTATATTTTATATATTTAAAATTTATTAAAGGAATAGGTACATATTAAGTATGCTCAGCCAAAAAATAAGCAAAAAACAAACAAAGAAACAAACGTCCCTTCCCCCACCAAAAATCTATGTATGTCAAGTGATGTAGATGTTAATCACTCCGATTTTGGGAATCATTATACAAGATATACTTATATCAAAATACATCATTGTACAACCTAATTAAGTTTTTTATCAATCACACCTGAACAAAGTTGAAAAATATATAAAACTTGTTTTTTAAAAATATGTATCTTATCAGTGCTAGGTAAAGAAAATCTTTGTGGAATTTTTGTGGCATTTATATAAAACAAGGAAATCATTTTGGAGAAAACAAAGATAATTTTGCATAAGAAGAATGTTTTCCCCTTTTTAGTCTTCTAAATTAAATATTAATGAACTCTCAAGTTTGAGCAGGTGCTAAGCCATTTTACAATGCAAGCAAGATAGGACAAATAGTAACAAAATACAGAAAAAGATTACTGCTTTTCCTGTGAGCATACAGGAGGTGTTTCTGGCTTGTTAGTACTAACTTAATTCTTACTTCTCCTACTTTGGGGAAACAGGTAAGATTATGTTACAGAAAAAGTTTTTAAGTAATTTCATCAAATTATTCACAGATTTGTAGTTCAAATTTCACCTTGAAAACAACATCTCCATTTCAAAACACTGTCTTAAAATCCTGGGACCAGTTCATGCACTCATTCATTTATTGAGTAAGTGTGTATTAATTACATGATGTAGACTATGAATCTATGACTGCTTTCTTGGATTTCTTGACACCTACTGAAGAGATGAGCCATAATTATAATAGAGAATCACCTTCAATTAAGGAAAAAAAAGTAAAGAAAATGATAGTTTTATTACATGACTATAATATAAAGCAATTACTTGGAAAATACCTACAGTTGGGGAAATAGTTGTAAATGTATATATAATGGTATTCTATGTTTTTAAACTCTCATATTTAGATTTTTTTGGAAACCAGGAGTAGGTTAAGCAGAATTCAATGGCTTCCTTGAAGTATTGAGCTGGTAGTTGAAAATTGCTGCAAAGTTAAAACTTACCCAAAGTCATTTTTGCTAATGCTTATAGGTTCATGTCAGGCTGTGTTTCTATTGTACTAAGCTCAGAAATAACCCAATTTCCTATTGAGAATCCTTTATAATGAGAGCAATTTTAATCTTCAGCCTCCCACTGTAAGCTGTTCTTACTGTGAATTTGTTTCATTGATAATATTTTAGCTTATCTTTTAAAAAAGTAACACTTATTTCATCTTTTGAAATATCTTTGATATTTTTGAAGAATTGCACTAAGCAAAGCAATGATTCATAATTTTATTGGTGCATTAAAAATTGGAAATTATCATGCTTAAAGATATTTAATACTCCTATGTGTTAGTATTTTGAAGTTGAGTTAAATAGCATAAAGTTGCTGTGCAAATAGTGTAAAAAATATTTATTATGTATGAATTTTCATTCAAGACATCAAAGTTTAACTCAGAAATCAATGTATATAATTCCACCATTGGCTAATGAAGGGACGTGACTGCGAGTTACGGAGGATAAATACAATCATTTTCATTGACCGTTTCTCTTTTAAAATAAGGATCTATGTGCAAAGGGTCAGAAAATCCTTAAATTCGTTTACTGAAAAGAAGGAATTTTCGCTTCCAAAGTTTGGGTTTTAGTGTTACACAGAATCACTTTCAAATCTCAACCCAACTTGCAAAGCCTTTGGGTAACTTTCCTCATCTTTTTAAGCCTCAGTCTCCCTGTCTCCCCTAAGATTTCCTTTTTATAACACGTAGTTAATGATATTATTCCTAGCACAGCCCCTGGCACGTGTCTCAGCTACTTTCAAAGATTTCATTCCCCCCACATCTTTATTTCAGACAGGAATATTTTACAGACTAATAAATTGGAGTAGTGAGTTAAAAATAGGTGAAAAAAGTCAGTAAGTCACCCCAGGCTAATTTTACTTTGCTTCTACGTGGCAGAAAAACTGGGGATAGTTACCTTTTTATTTTAAGTGGTATTTATCTTTCTCTATCTTCTTCCCGGGGATCATGTCTCCAAGCAAATACATGCATTCAAGTGAGAGGGCTCCTGGAAGCTTAGGGCTGTCATTTCACTCAAGCTATGACACGTTAGGAATCACACGGATTTGATTTTGAATCATAGTTTTCCTCCTAGAACTTGTGGGTTCTGTTTTTTTTATACTATAAATTAAGATAATAATATTTAAATTATGAGGTCATCATGAGGATTGAATTATAAAATAGATAGAAGTTTCCAGGCAAGTGGAAACAATGCAAGAGATGCCATCAATTTTAAGTGTATATTATAGTTTAAAGTAAGGTGGGGAGATTATACCTATATATAAATAGGGGGAAAAATAAACTGTCGTTTACTCTTCTGAGCTTTTATCTGGGACCCTTACAACAAAGGACAAATTAACAAGGGAAAAACAAGAGTTTTGTTGACAATAATTTTTTATATATATGGGAGATACCCAGGCAATAAGCAATTCTCAAAGACCTGGCTTAGAATATCAGCATATATACCATCTTCAACAAAAGACAATTCAATTTTAGAGATGTGACAAGACAAAGGCAAACGACCTTGAGCTTTAGGGGCAACAAATTGTGGCAAGACCTATATAAGGAGAACTAATGGCAGGTAAAGGATAATCAGATTTGTTCCACAGATTCCTCTGGTTAAATAAGTCTTCAGGATAATAAGGGTCTAGGATTGTCTTTGCTGATGAAATTTTGTCCTTCTTAGTATAAAGGGAAGAAGGGACACCATTGTAAATTTGTGCCTTTCTTTTAGGCAAATGGGGTTGAGGGAGAAGAGCTTTTTTTTTTTTTTTTTTTTTTTTTTTTTTTTTTTTTTTTTTTTTTTTTTTTTTTTTTTTTTTTTTTTTTTTGTATCTGCTTCTTTTCAATTATCTTCAGCTCAAAAGGTATGCTTTATCTTATGCCAAAAGGTATGCTTTGGGTGGCATATTCGGCTACTATTCATTCAGAAGTGGTTATAAGATAAACATTTATTTTCATGATTTATAAACAACTAGAAATAAAAACGAAGTTAGAATAACTGATTTTCATTTTTAGAATCTATTACTCTTTGCAGAGCAAAAGTATGCATTAAATATCAAAGTTGTGTCGACATATACAAATAAATATATATATTATGATGAAATGCGCAATAATTTGCATGATTGCCCTTACATAATATATTTCATTGTCTGTATTAATTCGTTCTCACGCTGCTTATAAAGAAAGACATACACAACACTGGGCAATTTACAAAAGTAAGAGGTTTAATGGATTCCCAGTTCCACGTGGTTGAGGAGGCCTCACAATAGTGGCAAAAGGTGAAGGCACCTCTCACTTGGCAGCAGGCAAGGAAAGAGAGCTTGTGAGGTAAATTCCCCTTTTTAAAACCATTAGACCTTGCAAGACTTATTCACCAACACAAGAACAGCACAGGAAATACCTGCCCTCACGATTCAATTACCTCCCACCTGAAATTTAAGTTGAGATTTGGGTGTTTGAAGATGAATTAACAGTTTCATAATTTTCAGCAAAAGTGAGAATTACATGGTAATAGGGCTAACGTTTATTGAGTGCTTACTATGCTTATCTGTTCAAAATACTATACACGTACTGTCTGATTTGATTCAAATGACACACATATGTGTTAGAGAAAAAGAAGAATAAAGAAGGTAGAGAAACCGAGGGACAGAGAGTTTAATTAAATTGCCTGTGATCGAAAGCAAGGAAATAGAAGTGGGAAGATAAATGCAGGCAGTCTGATTCAGACCTGCTAGCCCATTGAAATACTGCCACCTTTTCTAAAAATATTTATAGAAAAAAGTGAGTAATTATCCTTATAACTAGGCAATGTCAGCTTTCAAAACTTGAATTCTCTTCATTATTTATCTACATTAACCAATTGTTGCAAATATTCTATTAACCCTTTTCTTCGTATACCTTAAATTATGTGAACTCAGAAGAAGTCTTTAAAATAAACTTTTTATTCCCCTCTAGGTTAAAGCAGAACAAAAAACATTAAATATTAACTTTGCCTTATTTTTACAATATTTGGTAAAAATTACATATCTGAATGACAAATAGAAAACAGCTTATGAAATTAGGAAAATAACGTTTTAGATTATTTTATCGTTTTAGTCCACTATCAGACATATGTTTTATTTGGATTCTGGGAGAGTAGAAAACAGCTTATGAAATATATGTGGAATTTTAGCATAAATAGTAGCTGAAATAATGTATCAGTGGTGATTTCAATTCACTATCTGATTGGACAGTGGGGAGAATAAAGGTTAAAACTGCAGAGGAACGTTTCAGTTCACTCTTTTAAGCTGTATTTAGATCTATCGCAATTATAGTTTTAAACGTTCTCTTTGTTTGGTTGGTTTCTTATAAGAATGAATATGGCAGGTAAGTTTTAGAAATTATGCGTTTGATAGGAAAATGTGCTATTTGAGATGCTTCACAATAGATGAGTGAGGCATGTAGGAATAAAGATGATTACTATTAAAGAAAATAAACCTTATTAGCGCATAAGTACCATTGGTTGTATTCTTTATGCTTAGAAGAAAAAAACTCCATGACCTTCTTTGGATTTGCAACATGTTTTACTAATTAGCATATAAATAAATTACAATCTAATGTCGCTTAATACATTTTCTTTTAGGAATTAGACCTACATTCTTCATATTAAATATTCTTCCAATTTAACCACAGAGCTTGAACTTACAACAGAAACTAAACAACTCCAGTTTTGGACGGGATCCAAAAGCCTTTAGCGTCACTCAGTCCATTTAACACTTGAAAAGTAAACCTGATTGAAGTCACCATGTGGCCATGCTCTGAGTGAATAACATTCTCTCTATGGACTTGGGTAATTCTCTCTAGGTTTAATACCAGTTATGACTTTGCCTCAGTAGAAT